CTCCCCCGGGGCCGGTTTTTTGTGGATGTCTCAAGCGAGGGCGCCGGTTTGGGATTCGTCACCGGATCCACCGGATCTGTCCGGAAACGGTGCCGGAGGCCGCTCTGGGCTCCTCTGGGCACCTCCCCCGGGGCCGGTTTTGTGAGGATGTCTTAAAAGCGAGGGCGCCGGTTTGGGATTCGTCACCGGATCCACCGGATCTGTCCGGAAACGGTGCCGGAGGCCGCTCTGGGCCCCTCTGGGCACCTCCCCCGGGGCCGGTTTTGTGAGGATGTCTTAAGCGAGGGCGCCGGTTTGGGATTCGTCACCGGATCCACCGGATCTGTCCGGAAACGGTGCCGCAGGCCGCTCTGGGCTCCTCTGGGCACCTCCCCCGGGGCCGGTTTTGTGAGGATGTCTCAAGCGAGGGCGCCGGTTTGGGATTCGTCACCGGATCCACCGGATCTGTCCGGAAACGGTGCCGGAGGCCGCTCTGGGCTCGTGCTCTTCGCGCCGGGGGTGAGGATGACGTGAGTTCCACAGAAACTCCCTCAAATCATCATCATCATCATCATCATCATCATCATCATCATCATCATCATCATCATCATCATCATCATCATCATCATCATCATCATCATCATCATCATCATCATCATCATCATCATCATCATCATCATCAGCATCAGCATCAGCATTCATCATCCCTCTCCTCCTCCTCCTCCTCCTCCTCCTCCTCCTCCCTCCTCCTCCTCCTCCCTCCTCCTCCCTCCGTCCTTCCTCCTCCTCCTCCCCTCTCCGTCCTCCTCATCCTCCTCCTCCTCCTCCTCCTCCTCCTCCTCCTCCTCCCTCTCCTCCTCCTCCTCCTCCTCCTCCTCCTCCTCCTCCTCCTCCTCCTCCTCCTCCTCCTCCGCCTCCTCCTCCTCTCCCTTCCCCCTCCTCCTCCTGCCTTCCTCCTCCTCCTCCTCACCTCTCCTCCTCCTCCTCCCTTTCCCCCTCTCCTCATCCTCCTCCTCGTCCTCCTCCTCCTCATCCTCATCCTCATCCTCCTCCTCCCTCCCTCTCCTCCTCCTCCTCCTCCTCCTCCTCTTCCTCCTCCTCCTCCTTGCTTCCGCGTGAACGCCCCGCCCCCCAGGGCTCAAGCCGCGCCAGGCCTGGAGGGAGGGCCCCTGGCCGAGCAAAGCCCTCGGGCGGTTGCTATTGTGCAGTCGGGCACGTCCCTCTACAGGAGGAATTTTGAAAGATAACTTCAAACATAGTCTGGGAACCATTTTTCTTTATTAATCATTTTTTGTTGTTTCTGTATTTGTCTTGACTATTCTTTATTTCCCTTCAAAATCTCTGCCTGCAGGAGGACATGCCCGACCCACAGCCAACGGGGGGGGGACCTACATGGGGGGGTGAAGACACGGGGGCTCCTTTTGGGCCCGTGCTGGCTCCACAGGGGGCCCCCGTCGGGCCCCTCTCTTCGCCCCCCCCCGGGTGGGCCGCCCCCCGTCACCACGCAGCCACGCGCAGAGGGGGGGGGGGGGGGAGGGCCTCTTGGAGGCACCCCTGCCTCTCGGGAGGCGCGGGCCTCCTCTGCAGCTGTGAGGGCCGGCGCCTTCTGAGAAGCCGCCTCCTTCGAAGAAGCCCTCCCCCCTCCCCCCCACCCCCTGGTGCGTCGCCCCCCGTTGCCACCCGCCCGAGGCGCCCCGCAGGCCCAGGAGTGGGCCCTCGGAGCGAGCGGCGGAGGCCCGCGGCCTAGGAAGGGGACCTGCCGGCAGCGAGAGGCCCCTGCGCCGAGGACGCGCGCCCCACGTCGAGGCCCCTCGCTCGCTGGAGGCGGGTGCCCTTTGGGCTCCCAGGTTTTCTCGCCCGAACATCCTGGGCGCCCTCCTGCCTCCAGAGAGTCGGGATGGCCCCTCGCTCGCTGGAGGCGGGCGCCCTTGGGCTCCCAGGCCCTCGCCCTGACATCCTGGGCGCCCTCCTGCCTCCAGAGAGTCGGGACGGCTTTCCCTCGTCGGAGGCAGGTGCTCTTGGACTCCCAGGTTTTCTCCCGTCCTAACATCCTGGGCGCCCTCCTGCTTCAAGAGAGTCGGGATGGCTTTCCCTCGCTGGAGGCGGGTGCTCTTGGACTCCCAGGTTTTCTCGTCCCAGCATCTCGGGCGCGCCCTCCTGCTTCCAGAGAGTCGGGGTGGCTCTCTCTCTCCCTTAACACCCTTCCAGGGGGGTGGGCGGAAGCCCCCTCGATCTCCACCGCCCTCCTGCTTCAAGAGAGTCGGGATGGCTCTCCCTCTCCCTTAACACCCTTCCGAGGGGGGTGGGCGGAGGCCCACCCGATCTCCACCGCCTTCCTGAACTGCTTCGTGCCTCCGCGAGCCGCCTCTGCCGAGCGCTGGGTGCGCCGCCCCCCCCCCTCGCGCCACGGCTTGAGGGGCCGCGGCATCATCCGGGTCGGACGCCCCCCCCCCGGGGAGAGCGCTGGATGAGCAATGGGGTCGGTATTCAAGGGCGCCCTCGAGGGCGCGAAGTTATTCGCGCTTCGCGGTTCGGCTCCGATTCCTCTTCTTCCTCCTCTTCTCCCCTGGGAGGGAGAGCTCTGGAGGAGCAATCCCTGACTGTCCAGAGACTATGTTTTAGCACTGGAGGCCTAACAACCTAAAACACTGAGCGACACAGCCCAAAACCAAGACGTATCATATAGCCTTTGGGTAGGGTTTTTCAAGTCGGAGCCCTCCTGGAAGGTCAGGGATGGGGTCGGTATGGTTCCACGGTTCCCCCCTGGAGCGGGACAGCCACCAGCAGATTCCCCCCCCCGCCCCTCGCTGTCCCCCCCGCCGGCTCTCCCAGCCTCCGGTGGCCCTCCCCGTCCCCAGGGAAGCTCGCTGACACCGACCTGGGGCCACAGGCGACGAGAAGCCTCGATCGTCGATCCTCGACCTCCTCCTCCTCCTCCTCCTCCTCCTCCTCCTCCTCCTCCACCCCGGTCTTCCTCCTTTGTGGTGTTCCACCTCCTTTGCCCTCGGCTTCCCAGATGGAGTCCGAGCAGATGGGGTCGGAGAGTCGCGCCGCATCGCCGATGCATCGCCGCTGCGGCCGGAGCCCCATATTCTTAACACCGATGCATCGCCGATGCGGCGCGATCCTCCGACCCCACCCACTCGCACCCCACTGAGGAGGCGCCTTTGATTAGGCGCCTCCCGCCGGAAGAGACGGCCCGCGTCCCACCCGATGGGCGAGGGGCTGCTGGAGGTCCTGCACAACGACGCGCTGCTCGGCATCTGCCGCTGCCTGCCGGCCCGGGCTCTGCTCGACACGGGCGCGTCCTGCTCGGAGCTGCAGCGGCGGTCGCGGGACTGCACCGAGCTCTGGCGCGCCCTCTGCGAGTTCCTGCTGGGCGCCACGGCGCTCCAGCTGCACGAGGCGGCCTGGAGCGCCGGGGCCGCCGACGCGGGCTCCGCGCAGTTCTACCGGAGGCTGTTCCGCGCCACCTGGAGCTGCGACGAGTTCTGCTACGACCACAAGATGAGGATGATCAGCAAGTTTTCCACCACCACCACCATTATCATAAGTTGGAGGGGGGAGGGAGGAGGAGGAGGAGGAGGAGGAGGAGGAGGAGGAGGAGGAGCAGGAGGAGGAGGAGGAGGAGGAGGAGGAGGCAGAGGAGGAGGAACAGGAACAGGAACAGGAACAGGCTATCCCACGTAGTGGTACAAGGAAAATGACGGCTTCCTCCCCTGAGCTCGACGGGCCACGCGACGAAGAGGTATAGCGGCGCGACGACCTTAACGAGGAGGGACACCTTCAGCTCTGCGGGCATTCGGATGGAGCTGCTGTGGGGGGAGCGGGCACCACCGCAGGTCCGTTTACAGAGCATTGACCCAATTGTTGCAAAAAGTCTGCTGGAACGGCCGATGACACTATATCATAATTGCGACTTTCCCACCTGGCTCCACAAATATCCTGCCAGCACTGACGCAAACTGGTCGCCCGATCATCGGGCTTGAACATCGCCTTATCAACAGAGTCAGCAGCTACTTTGTGAGAGTCCGTACTGTCGAGGCGGCGCCGCATACGCAGAAATGAACGACTGGCTGACCTCATGCGCACCCAGCTGTTCATCTGCTCTTCAACCTCGACAATGTGCGCGTCCTCTGGCAGCTCAGGACGCTCTCGCGGCTTGCTGGACGCCGAGCCCTTGTAGGACGCCGCGCCCTGAGGCCGAGAGGCCCCTGCTGCGAACAGGAAATATGCATGTCTAGATCCAGCTCCGCCTTGTCACTGCCGTACTCCTCGTCGGTGTTGGTCACCGTGTCCGAGGCGGGGTCGGGCGCGACCGTGTATGTATCCAGCTCGGCCTCGTCCGACAGAGCCTCCTCGGCAACGGCACTCGCAACAATAGCGGCAGGCAGCGGCGGTGGAACAGGAAGATGATCATCTTGCTCCGCCTCCGCCTTAGCACACGCGCTCGCTCTGATCTCAGCGCTGGAGCTGAAAAAGTCGGGCTCTATCACTGCCTCCAACTTCTCGCATGCACAATGCGCAGAGCTGTAGGTGGGAATATTTGGCTCCAACTTTGACTTCCCAAGCGCCTGCTTCTCACATTTCTTGCATGCAGCAACTTCCGTGCTGTAGCTGAAGGCGTCTGGGTCTGGTGCCCACAATACGCCGGCAGCCACTGCACCGTTCTCGCATGCCGGAGCGTGCCCCTGCAGACAGTCGGCGGCCTGGCCCGAGGTCCACGAAAGATCCCGCCACGGCTCCACGACAACGAGACCAAAGTCCAGTGCCGCTTGACGACCCACTGCCAGGTGCAGCCTCCGCAGCGCGCGTCTCCTGCTCTTGCTGATCGTTCCATAGGGGTTCCGCTCAACCGAAAAGGGGGGCACACTCCACGACGACCAGGGATGACCAGGTACGGTTGCTGCCATGGGCACGATTCGCCTCGATCTTAGCCACCCGTCCGAAATGTAACAGAAATACACAGTTCAGGTGCCACAAGCACGGCGCGATGAGCCGCCGAGGCACGGCATCGAGACTGGGCTGAGCCAAAAGAAATAGCTATGGACCCGCCTCGAGCCGCATGTGCTTGCAGAGGAGGAGGAAGAGGAGGGGGAGGAGGAGGAGGAGGAGGAGGAGGAGGAGGAGGAGAAGGAGGACCCTCCCTCCTCCGACTTTGGTGGTGGTGGAAAGCACGCCCATCGGAGGAATCTGCTCCTGGGGTCCATAGGCCAGGGGGGCCCGTCGGGCCCGGCGGGGGAGGAGGCCGCGAGGTACCTGCTGTGCACGTCCGGCCACACGGCCGAGGCTCTGGGGCCCTTTGTCCTGCAGCTGGGCGGGATGCGCAGCGCAGCGGAGGATCGGGGGAGGAAGAACCGCACCAGACCTTAATAGTGGGCCCTGGAAGTGTTTGAGAGACGATATGTATATACATATATATGTCTATATACATATATATGTATATACATATATATAAATATATATGTATGTCTATAGATGTGTGTATTCTAGTATATGTGTGTGCTGTATGTGAGGGCGTCATCGTCGAACGCCCGCTTCCGACATAGATATATTGTTTTTTGATGCTCTTTGGAGGAGGCGCTTCTCCTCCTCCTCCTCCTCCTCCTCCTCCTCCTCCTCTCCTCCTCCTCCTCTCTCCTTCTCTCCTCTCTCCTCTCTTCTCCTCCTCCTCCTCCTCCTCCTCCTCCTCCTCCTCCTCCTCCTCCTCCTCCTCGCTCCTTCTCCTCCTCCTCCTCCTCCTCGCTCCTCCTCCTCCTCGCTCCTCCTCCTCCTCGCTCCTCCCTGCCCCCCTCCTCTGCCCGCCTTGTGCCTCCCGCTCCTCGCTGCCCCCTCGGAGGAGGCGGCCGAGCCCGTCCACGTCACGGTCATCGACCTGGCGCGCGGGCGCGTGCTGCGCCCCGCCCTCGCGCGCGACTCCCGGCGGCCCGCGCAGCGCATGCGGCACGCGAGCTGCACCGTCGCGGCGCCCTTCCTGGGCCCGGCCGCGCTGCCGGGCGCGGTGCTGGTGATTGTCGGTGGCGAGTCGTGGGGGCCTGGCGCACTCTTGCTTGGCATCGCTCGGACGTGTGCATTTTTCGTTCGGCGAGGGTCATCGAGGAGCATCCTTGACCATTTGGCGAAAAAACCACGCACGAAACCGAAAAAAACACAGGGAATGGACGTCCGAGAGATGGCGAGTCTTGTGGAATCAGGAGGGAAGCAAACACACAGACACAATGAATCGTCGATGCCCCAGAAACTATGGGACAAGATGGGAGGTGGGGGGGAAGGCAAGAGAGCCCAGAAGATATGGGGAAATATGGGGAATCCGGTTATGTGTGCGTATTTATTTGTGTGTCCCAGGGCCCCTTCGTGGAAGTCGATTACTGGAGAGGAAGCATGCTGCCAAATGGTTTCCAGATGTACATCTGTCTTCAATAGGTTAAACCAATGTGTGAAACATGTTTGGGACACGTTTTACACACTTTAGACACATCTTTAGTTCAATGACAGGATTGTTGGAGTGTCCATTGTCATGGCATTCACAAGCGTACTCTGTCAATTCCGCTTTTGGCGCCGACTAGCGCCGATTCGCGTCTGGGAAGCGATTGGCTATATCGCAGACTTGGCGTCGATTCAGCGTCGACTAGCGGCGAATAGTGTCGATTTGCAAGAGCCGACAAGGTGGTATGGGAGGTTCCCTTGAGTGGCCACCGAAGTGATATCGAAGAGCAAACGACGGCAGAAACATAATTTGTCTGAGGTCCGCTCGGATTTTTTGGGTCGTCGCTGGTCCCTCCTGGCGGCGCCTGCGGCGCCGCCCTTGGCGCGCTCCGCGCGCCAGGGAGGGGTCCAGCGCCGATCCAACAACAATCCCCGCGGACCTTCGAAAGTTCATGATTATGTCATGTTTGTTCTCCGGTGATGGGCGGCCACGACGGGCACGTCCGGTCAATGACAGCGGGCCAGCCTCGTGCGGGCGTGAGGTCGCTCCTGCTGCTGCAGGTGACTGCCGCCGACGGCTCCGAGGTCCGCTGGTCCGAGGTGCCAGCGACCGGGGAGGCGCCGGAGTATATGCACAGCGCTGCGCGGCACCACATTCGGAGTTGCAAATCGGGCATTGACAGAGCGCCCCCCCGGACAAGTCCATTTAGGAAATTTGCACGGGTTCTATCGACATTGGCATTCGAGTGCACCGGAGCAGTCCGCAGTCGGTTTCGCTAATCGACGTGCGTTTCGCTGCATACATTCGGGTGCTCTTGGACGTCGATACGCTACCCCGCTGGGGTACACTCTACATGCCGTGCCATGCGCACGTGAATTGCCCCTGGTAGCTTTTTCTAGGGCGTTTTGCTACAAGGATTTCTTTCCACCCCCGAGCAAAGGCGGTGCCTGTCGTGCAGTGTTGTGAGCGAACTTCATCTGGCAAGCACGCCGGGAACAATACTGCAAGGATGCTGGCCCGCCCGGGGCTAGTTAGACATCCGCGTGTCGTAGTAGTGTCTTTTTCACATTACGGATTCGTTGGAACAGAATGGGGCGCCGGCGCAAAGTGTGGGGTACTAGTTCGGGCGTGAGGACGACGAAAAACCGACTAGTTGAATCAAAACCGCCTTGAGATGCCATGTGCACATGGCGCTCTCCGCGGCCTGCGTCAGCGAATGCATCATCAGTAGCTGCCTGCCGAGAGACACAGGAGAAGAGTCCCGCGCTGGACTCGAGCGATGCACTTTGTCTACAGCCGAGTCCTCCTCGGCCTGCCTCCTCGTTCCTCCTCCTCCTCCTCCGGCGTCCTCCTCCTCCTCCTCCTCTTCCTCCTCCTCCTCATGTCTGGAGTAACGCGATCCCGAAGTGTCCTGGCTGACGGTTCGGAGGCTCCGTGGGTTTGGTTTTGGTCTCCCGCATACGATCAGGATCTTCCATTCCCATTGTAAGTCGATCCTGCCATACCAGCTGCAGTTGTGCCCTGTGGCGAAGCAGCCGCGGAAAGCGTACAATGAGGCGCTTGAATATTGCAGGCCGTCGTCATGCCTTCTCTAGCGATATGCTGACGGGTCCTTCGTGCACTAGGAGTTTCCCTTGAAGTTCTGGACATTGGCGGCTTTTTGAAGGCCGTGAGATTTCGGGTCTTGATTTGGTGTTCCAGTTTGGGTGCTAGCTAGTGCAAGACTGCGTCGTTAAGGCTGGCTGGGATGGTGATGATATCATCCCCGCGCGGACCAGGTGGACTTGGTGGCGCCGGTCATGGACCAGCATTACGGTAAATGAAGTAAATGAAGTAGGCACTGTCACCGTCCCCGCTCTCACGCCCATCCCCGGGAAACGACCTCAGAAAAAAAATCCTGAAGCGGCTGAAGTTTTTCCGTGACCCCACTGTTCCTTTCTGCACCTTAGGCCAGGGGTGTCCAAGTGGGCGGGGCCCGACCGTTTCTCGGTCGCAGATCTCCGAAAATTGAACAGGAGGATGCGACAAGTAGATACAGACAGCACGATGCACCTTGTGACGGGAGTCCTCCATGTTCTCTGTCGGGCAGTGCGTGCGTCGACTTGTCTTAACACGGCTCTGCTAGGTTGCGCTCTCGATTGCACGGGGGAGGCTGCTGATGATGACCTTCGGCAGTTTCGTGCGTGCCCGAACCTCAGACGGTGCCTCATTGGTATATGTCCTCTGTGGTGGACTCCTGGCGTCGGGGGCTGAGAAACTGGTTGGCGTCGATTGGTTTTTAACTTTCTGCTGTCTTGGGAGGTATCGTGACCTGGTTGGGTTTTCGTTGATCCATGGATTCCTGGCTGCCCATAACTCGTGCTCGCCGTGCGGCTTCCCAGGTCCTTGAGGAGTTTCTGTTCTCAAGGCTCGGTTGAGGCAGCTGTCCCGCCGTCGCCCCGAACTGCTGGAAGCCCTGTGGACGTTTCGTTTACTTGGCGCGGCCCGTCGTGCCCCCCTTCCTCCTCCTCCTCCGTTGTTGCTTCCGGCCCCCCGTGGATAAGACTTTGAGCGCCGCCCCCCCCCCTTTTGAGCCACCCTTTTTTCCAGTGGCCCCCTAGTGCCCTCCCTGTGGCACCCCCGCTCCTTCATGTAGCGCACAGCGGTTGCGACCCTTGTGAGTTTTCTGAGGTTGGTTGTCTGGCGTTCCGAGGTGTGTTTTTAGTTCAGATTGTTTTGGATCGTGAAGGGACGTTGCTCTTTGGCTACGCCAGGGTCAGCCATGTTCCCCGCGCTAGGAGAGGTGGTCTGGGAAACCATGTCCGTTGCCTGCCTTCCTTTCCTTTCCTGTGCTGTGCTGTTTTCCTCCCGTCGTCTCGCCGTCGGCTCGTCCCGTCGCCCGCCGTCGGTCTCGTGCCGCCTCCTCGTTTCCGGCTGGCTGCTATCCTCCTGCTGTTCTCCCCCCCCCACGCGCATTTGTTGTCTCTTGTTCCCCCCCCCCCCTCGCTTGTTTCCTGATGCCTGCTGCTCCTCCTCATTGTGTTACTCTTTTGTGTGTTGGCCTGCTCTTTCGCCCCGGCGAGCGGAGAGAGGGTCGGCCCGCGCGCGCTCGCCGCCGCCCCCCCCCCGGCGCGTCCGGTTAATACTGTGGCCCGTTTTGTGTTAGTCAGGAGGAAAAAAAACACACAGACACAATGAATCTTCGATTCCCAGGAAAATATGGGAAAATATGGGAATTGGGGGAGAAGACAAAAACCCAGAAAATATGGGAAAATATGGGGACTAATTTTATTTGTGTGTATTTATTTGTGTGTCCTAATTTCCCTTTAGTTAGTGTGGCCCGTTGGGTGTTAGTGTGGCCCGTCGCGCGGCGGGATGGGAGTTACTGTGGCCCGCGCAGGCCGCTCAATGGAAATCAACATGTAAAGGTGTCTCATGTTAGATCTGGAGAGATTCGCAACCCTGAAGGGAATGCGCTCCCGCGCAGGCAAGAGTGGCCACAGTAACTCCCATCTGGAACCAACGTGGTAGTAGTGCTGTGTTAGTGGTGTGGTGGTCGCTGTGCTGTGTTAGTGGTGTGGTGTTGGTAGTTGTGTTAGTGGTGTGGTGTTGGTAGTGGTGGGTTGTGCTGTATGCTTTGTTAGTGGTGTGGTGTTGGTAGTGGTGTGCTGTGTTAGTGGTGTGGTGTTGGTAGTGTTGTGTTAGTGGTGCGGTGTTGGCAAGGTTGTTGAGTTGTTAGTAGGTAGTAGTGTTGTGGTAGTGGCAGTGGTGCTGTGATAGTGGTGTTGTGGTAGCGCTGTTGTGGTGTTGTGGTTGTGGTATTGTGGTAGCGGTGTTGTTGTTTTGTGGTAGCGGTGTTGTGGTGTTGTGGTACTGGTATTGTGGTAGTGGTGCTGTAGTGTGGTAGTACAATGGTGCTGTAGTGTTGGTGTTAGGTACTATCATTCATAGGGAGTACTAGTCCAACAGAGTACTAGCCGCAGGGAGTGCTAGCCCCAGGGAGTACCAGTCCTAGGAATTACTACCCCTAGGGCGTACTCGTCTAAGGGAGTACTCGTCCTAGGGAGTACTCGCACTACGGAGTACCAGCCCTAGGGAATACTAGTCCTAGGGAGTGCTAGTCCGAGGGAGTGCTAGCCCTAGTGGGGTGGAGCCTTTTTGGACCCCCCCCCTTCACCGTACTCGATAATTAATACACTCCGGAGGACCCCTGGCCATACTAACACCCACCGGGCCGCAGTAACAACCAACTGGCCGCAGTAACACCTTATCTCCCCCCCGGCGGCCCCCCCCGCCCGCCGCCGCGCCCCACCGCCGCCCCGCGCGCTGAGCTTTGCGGAGTGGTTCCCCGACAGGGCCTCTTTCGGCGGGGCGGCCATTCTGCTGCTTGGGGGCAGAGCCTGGCTTCTGATTGGATTGCTGCCCCCGGCAGTTAGCAATCAGTACACATGCTTGCAAGCGGCACGTGGTGCCTGGAGCGCTCTGCTCCCGGGAGCCTCTGGGCCCGTCCTCCCCGCGGCAGGTTCCCGACGAAGTTCGAGGCACCTGCGGCGCTCCGACGCTGTCGTCTGCCCTCGCCCTCCCTCCCTGCGCCAGGTTCCCGGCGACGGTCGAGGCGCCTGCCTGCGCAGTTCGGCTTCTCTCTGGTTGTGGTGTCCTCGTTTTTGTTTTGGTGCGCGCCCCGTTGTTGTGCCTCTGCGTGCTGCTGGCGTTGGGTTTGGCCTGTTGTTCGGCGGGGAGAGATCGCGCCTCGGTCTCGCGCGGGAGTGGCGAACCGGTCGAGTCGCGATGGTCCGGTTTTGATGGGAGCACGCGCCCCCAGGGACAACGGACTCCTCGCGCAGAGCACCCGCCGCTCCTCCTCTCCGCTTGCAGGGAACATACCGATTCGCGACTTCGTGCGCGCAGTTCATTCACGGCTGAACGTTGCCAGCGGCACGTTGACACCGCCCCGACACACCGCTGCGCGACAGCGCGGCTTGGGTGGTCTTGCGAGGACAACTGCTGTGAAGGCGGGCGCAGGCCCACCCGCAGCTCCGTCACCCGCTCAACCACCAGATGCCCCGTAGCCCATTGCTGCACGACCAACTACTTGAGCGCATGCGCAGCTATGGCCACCCAACCGAACGCGCTCCAAGAAAAAATGCGAGAGGCATATTCAATGGGTGCGGAATATATGCAGGCGCCCCCCACGCTACCGCCAGCGACGCCCAAGCTGGCGCATGGACGCCCGCAAACGACAACCGCTGGGGGGATACAGACCCCTCAGAAGGTACAGTCCTTCTAGGCCATGAGCGTGGCGTCCCCGCAACAAGTGGCGTCATTAGGTTGCCAATGACACAAGAGGCCTGAACTCCACCGTCAAACCCAGCAACCACGCTTTGGGTAGAGGCTGGACAACCTGCTTCGCCCTTCGGCTCCGGCGCCGAGACGGACTCCGTCTCCTGCTAAGGTGCTGCAGAAATACTATGGACAGACGTGCCAGTACACTTCGTCGATGAGCAGACTGCGGAATGCTCATTGTTACGATTTGGTCAACATGCTAAGCGTCGTCGGAGACGATTCGTCAAAAAACTTGACAAACGCGTTAGACGGCCAGCGCGAAGAGTATTCCGCAGCTGGGGACAAGTGACCAACCAGGCAGGGGTTATGTGCGGAGGAAGGGGATTGCACGGCCGCGGCGTTGCTACGTTCCTGGCATCCCTTGCGGACGACCAAACCGTCGCACATTCGCCGGCAGTGGCAAGGGCAGAGGCGCCGAAACGCTTTGGGAAAGTGCGCGGGGGCGAGGACTGCGCCCCTGGGACCGAAGCGGGAACCGCATCAACTGCGACACTTGTGGTAGTGTTAAAAAATGAAAAGGGAGACGATTCCGTATGTTCTGGCTCAGGACACGCCGAGGATAATATCGATGACGTCGGTTTCCCCGAATTTCGATTCACCAGTGGTGGCGTCGTCAACCGCCTGGTTCCTGATGGCGCGCTTCGCCGCGGGATCTGCGGGACTCCTATCAGCACGCCAACGACCTTCGACGAGCTGCGCGGCTACGAGGATTCTGATTATTGAAATTGTCTGACTGCAACTACATTGCGTGGAGTTCGAGACGTGCCAGAATCTTTTCACGGGTAAACACGTCTGCGACGTGAACACGACCGGCACTGAAGACGCGATCGTCCAGCGCATCATGTAGAGAACGCTTTCGTCGCACGCAAGCTCAACAGCACACATTCACAAATTGCGCCGTGATTATACAAAACTGGAAGATGGCATCGCCACCCATCGACCTGGACGAATACGTCAAACAGCTTCGTCCCATACAGCATCCAGAACTGACAGGAGCTGAAGTGAAAGGAAAACGACGAAGCCACGCGCTGACACGTTTTTCCCGGAAAGGGCTCAGGCCCAGGGTTCTCTTTTAGTGTGTAAACATAGTCCCCCGTGCCCAACTTGAAGGAGGCCGGCGGATTCTTTCCCTCATAAATATCGAGGTCGAAGGAGGCCGGCGGATTAAAATTTGAGGATGTCTCAGGCGAAACGCTTGTTTTTGAAATCCCGAACGATAAATCACAGGGTGCGGGCCACCTCAGCACGACCACACCCCCAGCATGACCACACCCCAGCACGACCACGCCCAGCACGACCACGCCCCAGCACGACCACACCCCAGCACAACCACACCCCAGCACGACCACGCCCCAGCACGACCACGCCCCAGCACGACCACGCCCCAGCACGACCACCCCCCAGCACGACCACCCCCCAGCACGACCACACCCCAGCACGACCACACCCCAGCACCAGCACGACCACACCCCAGCACGACCCGATCGATAAATCACAAGGGTGCGGACCACCCCAGCACGACCACACCCCAGCACGACCCCACCCCAGCACGACCCCACCCCAGCACGACCACGCCCCAGCACGACCACACCCCAGCACGACCACACCCCAGCACGACCACACCCCAGCACGACCCCACCCCAGCACGACCCCACCCTAGCACGACCACACCCCAGCACGACCACACCCCAGAACGACCACACCCCAGCACGACCCCACCCAGCACGACCCCACCCCAGCACGACCACACCCCAGCACGACCACACCCCAGCAGGACCCCACCCCAGCACGACCCCACAGCACCCCACCCCAGCAAGACCACACCCCAGCACGACCACACCCCAGCACGACCTCACCACAGCACGACCACACCCCAGCACGACCACGCCCCAGCACGACCACGCCCCAGCACGACCACGCCCAGCACGCACGACCACCCCCCAGCACGACCACCCCCCCAGCACGACCACCCCCAGCACGACCACCCCCCAGCACGACCACACCCCAGCACGACCACTCCCCAGCACGACCACACCGCCTTGGTTGAGTGGTTGCCTGTCGTCGTGGAATGTTTCGTGGGGTGTCTCGTGGAATGTTTCGCGGGGTGTCTCGTGGAATGTTTCGTGAGGTGTCTCGTGGAATGTTCCGTGATGTGTCTCGTGGGATGTTTCGTGAAGTGTCTCGTGGGATGTTTCGTGAGGTGTTGCCCAGTTGGGTATCGTGAAAACGTGTCCATGCTCCACATGTCTGTATCCCTTTCCGGGTTCGTGGGTCCATCATGTTTCGTCACGGTGGGAGCATTGGCTTTCGCCGTAATCGCCCAACTGTTGTTGGTGTTGCACGTAGTATCGCTACATCTTGTCCAACAACCGACCATTGTCCAGGAGCGGCGACGTGGCGAACGGGCACGGCATCAGAGGCGCCAGTTTGTTTAGGCACACGCACAAACGGAAACCCTGTCGTATATCTGGCAGGCACGCAATGCAAGTCCCATCGACTACAGGTCCGGTCTCGCGATTGAGCGGAAGCGCTGGCAGCAGCCCGCCATTTGGGAGACTGCTACCCGACCACCATGAAGCTACGCAAACTCCAAGCTGGACAACTCACCCCAACTCAGCTCAAACACGCATTGGAGAGGGGTGGTCTGTGCATCAAGGTGACGCTGAACATCGATGTTGGGTCCGTCTTCAAATCCCCATCCAGCACCTCGAAAAACTGCAGCATGTACACTACTAGATCACATAAGCTGGATCTGAAACGTGATATGACAGCCGACGGACATACAAAAGGTAGTATTGATCGTGGGTTACTGTTGCAAGTGATGACAGGTATCCAGTCAAGCAAACATACCTTGAGAAAATACGTGCCGTACCAGGCGAGTCGAGCCTCGATTATGGAGCCTAGCTCTACGACAGCTGGCGGTTGGGGCATTTTTGCTTCGGAAAGGGCGGGCACCCCCCAGGCATCTCTTTTAGTGTGGTAATTTGTCCCGGTGCCAAGTTCGAAGAGGGTCGGCGGATTCCTTCCCTTTCCTTCCGGCGGATTAAGCTTAGACGATTCCTTGATCTTCCGATCGATACAACACAGGGTAAAGGAAGCATGTTCGTTTGTTGCGAACGTCTCGAGCGAAGCGCTGGTTTTGCAGAATTTTGGTTGAGGATGTCTCGAGCGAAATGTTTGTTTTGTGTTATCACTCGTTTCTCTCCTTGGTATCAGGATTCAGAGTGTGCGTCGAGGTGCGATGCATGTTTTCATGTGCCCAGGCTTTGACGATGTCTCGAGCGAGACGCTTGGCTTCCCGCTTCCATGTTGCCCAGGCAGGTGTCGAGCACCATGAGTTGTTGAGGAAATCTCGAGCGAGACGCTTGTTTTCACGCGTGCAGGTCGTCCAGGAAGATGTCTTGCATGAAAACGTGTTGAGGATGTATCGACATAAACGTTCGTCTTCGCGTGTCCAGGTCGCCCAGGCGGATGTCTCGCATGAGGATGTGTTGAGAATGTGCTGAGCGAAGCGCTTGTTCTCATGCGTCCAGGTCGCCCAGGCAGATATCTAACATGAGGATGTGTTGAGAAGGTCCCGAGCGAGACGCTTGCTTTTACGTGCCCAGGTCGCCCAGGCGGATCTCTAACATGAAGATGTGTTGAGATGCCTCGAGCGAGACGCTTGCTTGCACGTGTCCAGGTCGCCCAGGCGGATGTCTAGCATGAGGATGTGTTGAGGATGTGTTGAGCGAATCGCTTTGTTTCACGTGCCCAGGTCGCCCAGGCGGACGTCTAGCATGCGGAGGTGTTGAGAACGTCTTGAGCGTGACGCTTGCTTTCACGTGCCCAGGTCGCCCAGGCGGACGTCTAGCATGAGGACTTGTTGAGGATGCCTCGAGCGAACCGCTTGTCGCAGCAGAGCGCATCGTATCCTCACCCCGTCCGTCCGTGGGGCCTCACCCGGCGCCTTGGCGCGCCCCCCGGCGCGCCCCCTGGTGCGTCCCTTGCGACGTTCAGGCATGACGCGCCCTGGCACGTTCCCTGGCACGTCACTCGGCGTGTGGCACGCTCCCTGGACCGTCCTCTGTTGCGTTTCCCTGCTCGTCCCCGGGCGTTTCCCCCTGCCCGTGCCGCGGCGGGCCCGCTGCAGCGTCCCCTTGCATGCTGTCCTCTGGCCGTCCCAGGGCACGCGCGTTGGCACGTCCCACGGCAGGTCCCTGACACGTCCAGGGCAAGTCCCTTGATGCGTCCCCTGACACTTCCCCTGGCGTAGGCCCGATTGCGCCTCTGGCACATCCTGTGGCGCGTCCGTGAGCCTGTGCCCCGTGTCGTGTCTCTCCTTGTCGGAGCTGAGTCGGAATTTGAGGTAGTTTCCACTTCAACAAGCTCGCAGCTACTATGTGCTCAGGCAGCTCGAGCTTGAGATCCAGACCAGTTCGGTCAGGACTCGAATGCCAAGGAGGACCCGATCCACAACGCTTGGAGCACGCTCGCGGCCTGGCACATCGCAGTTCAGCACGGCACAGCACTGCACAGCCCTGGGCACGGTACACCAAGATCATACATTTAGCATTGCAATTGCCCGTCGCCCAATCAGGTGCCTGGAGAACGTTGCCATGCGTCACGTTTCCATCTCCCAGTCATGTTTGTCTCGCACGGCCACGTGCAGTGCTCGCCTGGCCACGGGCCAACCCCAGTTTCAAGGACTAGTTCGTGCATGTGTGGATTTCCGGGCGCATGACCCCTGCGAGGAAAACCGTCTCTGCATATACATAGTTCGTTTCGCACTGGGCGGCCTCACGTCCGAGTACACAGTCTATCGACTATACGGGTTGCGGGCTTGTCCGCCGTGCGGCCCCTGCCAGCACAGTTTCAAGCAAGCTCTTGCAGCGAGCGGATATGCCATTCGCGTCCTCCCTTTCCGACTGTGAATGCGGGTCAGAGGCGAGCAAAGCATTCTATCCGCCGCCGAGTGGTTGATAGCCGCGCGCTGCAATATGTGCATGGCCAGTACTCTTGCTACTCCTGCGTGGCACAAACGTGCATCGTACATCTATCATGAACTGTCTCACATCTACTGTCCCATGTCCCCTCTCGCCATCCATGGCCTGCCCTCTGCAACTGGTGGGAGGGAGATGGGGAATTTCTCTGACGATCTAAGTATTGCGGCTTTGCATGCCGTTTTCGACCCCCCCCCTCCCGTAGTAGAGGGCGGAGAGCCTTGGCCTCTCCCGAATGGGTTCGATGTGGAGCCTGGCTTTCTCCACGCCGACGTCGCCGTTGCGTCGCCGACGTCGCCGTTGCGTGGCCGATGCATCGTCGACGCATCGACGATGCGGCGTGATCCTCCGACCCCACCTATCCAGAACCTATCTGGGAGGCCTCCAAAAAGAGGACGGTGCTGGACAGACGAGAGGCAAGGAGACCAAGGAGAAGAGCAAACTCGGCAAACCGGCAGCCCGGCATGCATTTTCAGAGGCCTCCGCCCACGCAAGGGGTCCGGCGGATCTACAACCACGCTTGTGCGTCGTTCGATGGCGGCAGGCGGGTGTGCCTGTTCGGCGGCGATATCCCGGCCACCGACCCCGAATTTGCGCGAATCCGGCGCCGAGAGAGCGCGAGGTTCGTCTACGTGCTGGACGTGCCCCTGCAGCACTGGAGCGTGGTCGAGACCGGCGGACAGGTGCCGACCTGGCGTTCGTTTCACACCGCAGTGGCCCACACGTCGCTGCTGGACGGCCGCGAGTATTTCGTGACGTTCGGCGGCACGCACGAGCACTGCGAGCCTCTTAGCGGGGGTTCCCTGGCCTCCATGGTTGGCTACCAGCTGGACCTGCAGAGCTTCAACTGGCGCCAGGGTAGCCAGGAGGGCACAAAAACACACAGACACAATTCATCGCCGATTCCCCAGAAAATATGGGCAAATATGGGAAGTAAGGGGGAAGACGAAAACCGAAACAATGTGGGAAAACGTGGAGAATCCTGTTATCTGTGTCGATTTATTTGTGTGTCCCAGGGCCCCTTCAGGTAAGAACAACGCCTTCGTCCCGGCGGTGCGCATGCGGTTCGGAGCCGCGAGGTGGGGTCGGCACGTCCTCATCCACGGGGGACATGGCTCGGGCCCAGCCATTGGGGACTCCTACGTTGCCAGGCTGAACCTGACGACCCTCGAATGGCCCGCGGGGGGGTCACTGTATTGACTCCCGCAGGGGGTGTCGCTCGAACTCCCGCAGGGAGTGCAAATTGCACTTGGCTCCCTCTGGGAGTCTCGTGCTAGCTCCCGCAGGGGGGTTCGCTGGAAGAACAAACAAAAACAGCAAAAGCCAGATTCCTCTGACGTCCGCGCGGACTTCTTGGATTTGCGTCGGGCCCCCCCTTGGCGCCGCCTGCGGCGCCCTCTTCTGCGCGTTCCGCGCGCCAGGGAGGGTCAGAGGCCAGGCGAAGGCCGACAAACCCGTGGCTGCTACAACAGAGCTCCAGGAAATTGTTTTCCTCTTCCGGGAATCAGGCGATCGCAAGCAGGCGTGGATTAGCGGCGGGTCCCGCTTCCATGGGAAACCGCGGATTTCCGCCGCCGCACGAGGCGGAAGCGGCCGCATTTTGGGGAGGGCACCTCCCCCGATCCATGGATTTGGCGACCGCGCGCCAGATCCATGGATCGCCAATCCTTGTTGGCGCGCCCCCGAGGGAAGCAGCCCGTTTGTTTATCTAGCGCGCGGAGTTTGATTCCGGGAATTCGGTGTTAGTTCCTTCTGGGAGGACCGTTTCGGCAGCCACGGATCTGCCGGCCTTCGCCCAGCTTCCGGGGGGGGGCTCCGCGCCGATCCGCGAGCTCCGCGCGGACCCCCGGAGTGCCATGCCCGTGCCAGCGCCTTTTGTGTTCTGTTGCTCGCCTCGTGCGGCCTCCCCCGGGGGAGCACTGCGCCGCCTTCCTGTGGGAGTGCTGCGCTGCCCCCCGCAGGGAGTGCGCTGGTTGGGTGTTCGATCATGGGCCCCTTGCTGAACGCAACCATCTGGCTTCGCGCGCCGAAGACCGCTAGGGAACCGCCAATCACCGCGGGGACACCGCCGAGGGCCGTCCGAAGACCAGCCGGAAACGGACCAGCATCGATGGGCAACAAGCGCACCATGGTCGAACCCGTCACAATGGATTCCCGCAGGGCTGGCGTCAGGTTCGCCAACGCACCGCAGCCGCTGCCGCCGGGAGCGTTCGAGACAGGCCGGCAGCCTCGATGGAGCGGGGCTTTTGGGCGATTGGGAACCCTGTCGGGCGTGGCCAGGACAGGGATGAATCGTTCGCTCCCCGAGCGTTCGGGAACGTTCTGAGAAAGCCGCGGCACCTGATACAGCCTCCAGCATTGCCGAATCTCAGAGACTTCCGGTCTATCCCCATCCGATGTTGGGCCTGGCCTGGCTTCGTATTACCCCAGGCGGGCGGGGGATCACTGTGATGGGCTCGCGCAGCCCAAGGCCACGTCTGGGCCCCCCGCGCCGGAGGCGTGGGGGAGCAGGAACCGAAGGAGGAGTGGGAGGGGGGGTGCTGCGCTGTATTGAGAGGCGCGCCCTGACATCGATGTGCATTCGGACTGCGCACGCAGCTCCAGGGCCTCCCTACCGTGGAGGTTAAATTCAGCATCACCGCTGGTAGGTCCGTGGTCGAAAAGTAGCAACATCCACCCCAATCCCGCCTTCCCCGCGCAGTCCCGACTACTCTGGCTTAATCCTGGGCTTGATCGGGGACAATCCGGCGAAGTGGCAGTTGACTCGGTCCTCATAGCCCCGAATCGTTCTGACGAAGACGTCCCAGCAGCTGCCTCTTAACCTATCCTGCCTCACGCCATCCAAAGGGTGGTTTCAAAGGCGAGGCGTACCTCGCTCACCCTTCGGCCAGGCTGCCTGCCGCTTCTGGCCCACCTCGGGGTCACTGAGGTATGAAAGAGCGCGTTCTGTGGTCGCTTGGAGGGGGGGGGGTGAAACCGGACCCCCCCCCCCTGGATGGAGGGGCGCGGGAAGATTCGAACCCCCCCCCCTCCCCTGCTTCCCCTCTCCTCGGGCTGGCGCTTGCGTCGGCGGCGGCGACGCCGGCGGGGACGACGATTCCCATTTCTGGGCCAGCGCCGGCGCCTGCGGCGGCGGGCGGCGGTGGCGGGGAGCGTCGACGAGGACGACGGTGGTGGTGGTGGTGGTGGTTGTGGTGGTGGTGGTGGTGGTGGTGGCGGTGGTGGTGGTTGTGGTGGTGGTGTGATGGTTTGTTGTTGTGGTGGTGATGGTGGTTGTGGCGGTGAGTGATGGTGGTGGCGGTGATTTGGTGGTGGTGTGGTGGTGGTTTGTGGTGGTGGTGGGCGCTGCTGGTGGCCGCCAGCGCCAGCGCCGGCGCTGGCGCAAGGGGAGGGGAGGAAGAGGGGTTTCAAACCCCCCCCCGTCCCCTGGGCTGCCTCTGGTCATCGTCGCTGCGTTACCGCCGCGGGCGCTGCTGGCGGCCGCCAGCGCCGGCGCCGGCGCCGACGGGGGGGAGGGGGGGGTTCAAACACCCCCCCCTGGGCTGCCTCTGGTCCTCGTCGCTGCGTCCCCGTCGTAGGCGGCCGCCAGCACCGGCGCCGGCGCCGAAGGGGGGGGGGGGGTTGAACCCCCTCCCTCCCTTTGGGAGGGGGGGGGGTTCGGGAGGGGGGGGGTTTGGGCGGGAGGGGAGTCCCCTTGGTTTTAATCGAAGGCGCCGAGTGTTGGGGGGGGCCCACCCCTTGGTTCGAAACGCGCCGCCGAATGTTCCCCAGGCAAGCGCCCGTGAAACGCGCTCTCTGAGGCATGCATCTGCAAAGCCTGAGACTGACGTCAAAGCATCAGGGGAGCAGAATGGCGCGATATTTATATATTCTCTTGGATTCCCTGTATCCCTTAGCCTTCCGATTGCCCCGCACGGGCGCCAGAACCCCGAGCCGCGTGACATTCCGGAAGTCCTGAAGCGCATCCAGAACCAACAGTAGCATGATTTTCATTTTGATATTCATCACACAGTGGCGAAGCGTCCTGGCTCGCCTATAGGCCTACCAAACAATGTTCTAAGAACCTGTTGAGGCCTGCGCGAAATATTCTTAGAACGCTTCTAGCTGGGACTTTCTTGTTTAAACATTGCGTTATAAGAGAATTGTCCTTGTTCTCGGAACACTTCTGGGTTCTAGGAACATGTCGTGGTAGGCCTATAGAAATGCCAGGGCGGTCGGTCCCTGCTCAAATGCAAGCCCCTCGAGCCCTGCCCCAGTCAGACCCCGCCGCCCGGGGCCACGTGCAGTGTGCAAAACCACGCCCCATGGACGGCTTTTTTCCCCCATGCAGTGCTTGCGCTTCCCAGGTTCCTGTGGCGGCTCCGTGGTCACCGTCGCCGCCCCGTCGCCGCCTCGTCGCCGCCCGTCGTCTGGGCCCGTGCGGCGGTCTGTCGGCTCCGTGGTCGCCGTCGCCGCCCCGTCGCCGCCCGTCGGCTGGGCCTGGGTGGCGGTCTGTCGGCTCCGCGGTCGCCGTCGCCCCGGCGTCGCCGCCCCGTCGCCGCCCAGAGTGCACAGCATAGAATGCACGACATAGATCCTCCTTTTCAAAGAAGTATTCGGATCTATCACCTCTGGACTTAACCGCTCACTCTTTCGTATTGCAAATTTTCACACGATTCTGCCACTTCGTCCATCCTAGATTCTGAGTCCATCTCATCCGAGCCAAACCGGTAACGGCCCCCCCGCAAATTCGTCGAATTCATTGATACAAGCATAAGTGTTCAAACATCCCTTGCAACACATGGGACGAAGTGCACACGAACGCGTCGTCGCGCGCGCATGCCGAAATCCTTCAAAAGCCGTAATTAGGTTTCGGATCGAGTGCCCTGAAAACAAATGAAAAAAACGCGGTTTTGAATCATGGGGGTTCAACAAGAAATTGCGCTCGCGCTCTCGCCAATTCTCAAGGAGGCCCTCGGTGTTTTCACCATGCCCTTTTAATTCTGCCAAGCGGGCTCGCGCCGCATGTCGACATCGCTTGCACGCCCTTGCGCGCTTGCTGGGGGGCACGATCCGCTCGACCAGGCGTAAGAGTGACCCTTCGCCGGAGTGACCTCTGGTGCGGGCACGGATGGGCCCCCAGATGGTTGAGAACGAGGCAGCAGCAGCCGCTTGCGCACCCAGGTTTAGTCCCCCCGCGGCTCCCAAAAAGTCGCGCACCAAAGGTCACTCTTACCCAGGTAGGGGGCCACATGCGAACCCTACCGCTGGCCCCCACGATTCCTGAGGGGGAGGGTGGGGTTCACCTCGCTCGGGAGCTCCCGAGCGAGGTGAACCCCACCCTCCCCCTCAGAAATCGTGGGGGGTATGGGGTAGGGCTCGCATGTGGCCCCCTTGCTGGCGGCTCCCAGAAAGTCGCGCACCAAAGGTCACTCTTACCCAGGCTCACTCCTGCGTGCAGCCGACCCGCGTCAAACCACACCGTGCGGGCCGCCCTCCGCGCGTCGGCCACGCGCGCAGGGTCGACCTCCTTCCCAGGAGGCCCTCGCCGCCGACGCGGGGGCGCCGCCCTCGCCGTCGGCGCGATCAGCATCGGCGCCGTCCCTGGCCGTGCCGCCGCCGTTGTCATCGTCGCCGCCAGCCTGGCTACTGTTGTCGCCGTGTCTGCCGTTCGGGGCGAAGAGAGCCATGCACATGCACCGATCCTGACAGCGTCCATCCTTGACCCAGGATCGGTGCGTAATACTTTCCTGGCCAAGGTAAGAGGGGGTATGCACCGATCCTGGGCTCAGTATGGGCCTGGCCAGAATCGGCGTATGTGCATAGTTCTCTTTCCTCTATACCGTTGCCGGCATCGCCATGATGCCGCGCCCGCCCACGTGGCCGTCTCGCATTGAAGTGCCCGCGGGGACGTGCCCAGCAGTGGGCGCCACCTCGGCCGCGCTGGTCGCGCCAAACTAGCTTGCCGGTGCGCGCGCGGGCATGCGCGGGCTAGCGCTGCCGCAGAGATGCACCAGCCAGCACCAAGCACTCCTCGCAATCGTCGCCGCATGGTGGTTTGCAAACCACGTTGCGAGTGGGTGGATGGGATGAATGCGCGAGTAGTGGAGTTGACAATTGCGAGTTCCACAGGTGAATTGCAACGCTTAGATTTCACCACATACGCTGCACAACATAGGTTGCAACACGAAGATTGCCCCACGTCGATTGCACCGATTTGATTGCGCACCACATAAATTACACTACACATGTTGCACAGCCACTATTGTACAGCATAGATTGCATCACGTAGGTTGCACCACACAGTGTGCACCACCTTTGATGCTCCACCTAGATTGCTCCACATACATTGCACCGTATATATTGCACTATCTATGTTGCTCCACATAGATTGCGCAACATATGTAGCACCCCGCAGTTGCGGGTAATGTTGAGGGGGCGGAGGAGACGTTGGCAGTCTGCGAGGCTCTGAAGAGCCTGCCGCAGGCGCCTACTTCTACAAAGTATACAACGAGCCTGCCGCAGGCGCCGATTTGTTCGTTAAAGCATTGCGGGCGGAGCGGATGGGTCGCAGGTGGGTCGCGGCTGGTCGTAGGTGGGTCGCGGGTGGGTCGCGGGTGGGTCACAGGTGGGTCGCGGGTTGGGCTGCGGGTGGGTCGCGAGTGGGTTGCGGGTGGATCGCGGGTGGGTCGCGGGGTGTGCCACGGTTGGGTCGCGGGTGGGTCGCGGGTGGGTCGCTGGTGGGTCGCAGGGTGGGTCGCGTGTGGGTCGCGGGTGGGTCGCGGGTGGGTCGTGGGGTGGGTTGTGGGTGGGTCGCGGGTGGGTCGCGGGTGGGTCGTGGGTGGGTCGCGGGCAGGGTTGCGGGTTGGACGGCGACAACAAACAACAATCCACGCAACAGCAACAACAATAATAAAAACAACAACAATAATCCGCACCGTGGAACTTCACTTCAACTGCGCGCCTAAGGAGAATGAATGACCGTTCGCGCCCCCTCAATCTGATATTGCAGCACATAGATTGCTCAGCACCTAGAGTGAAGCACAGAGCTTACAAAAGAGAAGTCTGCGACACATCAATTGCACCAAATAGACTGCACACCATGTATTGCAGCATTCGTATTCTCCCTTCTAAATGAAAATAGATTCTACCCCCCTCCCCCCTCCCCGGACTTAAAGACCCCCTTTTTCGGTTCTGCCCCATCGCCCATCCTAAGTATGAATTTACACTATCCCAGGGGGGCCGGTATCTTGCGTCGTCGTCGTCGTCGTCGCCGTCCTCCCTCCTTCCTCGTCGTCGTCGTCGCCGTCGTCGTCCTGGATCTTTCCTCGTCGTCGTCGTCGTCGTCGTCCTCTTTGGCGTCGTCGTCGTTTCCGTCGTCGTTGTCGCCGTCTGTCACGGTCTTAAGAGGTCTTGCGACCAAGTCTCGGGTGGGAGGGCGGGATGTTTGCACGAGCAGTGGAGAGGACAGCTTCAAGACAGTCAGAGTGGATTGCACCACGTAGATCGTACCACATGGATGGCACCGCAGATATTGCATAACATAGTTGGTTCAACACTATTTGCACAACATATCCATCATACTATGCTATCGCACCACGTAGATTGCACTAGACGTATGGCTCCACGAAAATGTCACAGCACTGATTACCAGACAAAAAATCATGGGGGGGGCCCACGCTGGCTGAGACGTATATCCAGCCCACGACCACGGCCCTCGCCCACCCTCCAGGGCCTTTGGGTACAGTGCCTCCTCCTCCTCCTCCTTCTTTTCGGGGTGCGGGCCTGGCACCCTCCTCGTCCCCCAAAACGCCCGCTCCCCTCGGCTGCAGTGTAAGCCCCGGCATGATAAAGCGTCAAGGGCCCCCCCCCCCCTGGTCTTCTCTTGGCGCGGGGGGGCAGTGCTCCGTGCCTGGCGTTCCCTGTCATTGGGCATTCTGCTAAGCACTGGCGGGTCCCTTCCCCACGTGCTCTGAGGAAGACAGCGCTTTTCAAACGCAGCCGTTTCCTCGCTCGTGCCGTGCCTCGACGGCCTCGTCGAGATGCTTGTTAAGTTCGCCTTCGGCGTGTGGCAACACCCACGTTTTCGTGCCAGTTGTGGAAGCGTGTTGTCCGCGACCATCTTCTCCATCCTGAAATGCCCAGGCAGCGAACAATTATCATTCTGCCCCCCAGGGAATTTCGTCGTCGTCGGTCGTCAGCCGTCGGCCGTCGACAGTACGTCGTCGTCGTCGTCATTCGCTGGCCCGGCCAGAACGTCCCCGCTCCTCTTCGCCCGACGTCGCCGGCGATCTATTGGGGTCCGCCGAAGCATGTTTGATCTCATCGAGAGCAAAAGATGACGCAGTGAAGACGTGACCTCACTGAGATTCCTGTCTTTCCATTCGGGGTTATACATCTGGGGAGTCTGCTTCGATGCATCGGCAGACACGAACCCCTATCCATAATGTTGCTGGCCCTCCGAACGTCGGTCCCCTGCCAACGGGTTAGGGTTATGTCGGGTCTGTCCCCCTATAAAGGGATTTTCGACGAAAAATATAAAATACCCCCAGAATGTCCCAAAAAGGTCAACAAATACTCAACAAATAACCCCCATACTATTTTTGGGCTATTTTTTATTATTTTTTGTATCTTTTTAAAACATTTTTCGTCGAAAATCCCCCTGTAGGGGGACAGGCCCGACTTAAGGTTGGGGGCCCTTGCTTGGTGAACCGTCACTTCTCGCCCCCCACGCTGCCCGCTTCTGCTGGCGCTCCGCGCAGGGCCTCCCGCGGCCGGGTGCGTCGTGGGCGGCGCCCGGCCGACGGCCCGCGGGGCGCAGCTCCTGCAGCGGCTCGTCGTCTTCCGGCTCCTGGACGCCGCGTCGTCGGCCGACGCGGAGGCCATGCCCGAGCCCATCCTCGGCGGCGAACGATCAGCGAGCGAAGAACGGTATAACATAAACTTTTTCGCCGTCGGGGACACCTGCCCCTGGGCGGCTAGAAAGTTGATACCCCTACGGTGCCACCGTAAGGGTATAAACTTTCCAGCCGCCCTGGGGCAGATGTCCCCGACGGCGAAAAAGTTTATTTTATACCGTTCTTCGCCCGTTACAACGAGGGGGGGAAGTGAGAAGGAGAAGGCCCTCTCAGGAGGCGGCGGGGCGTCTCGGAAGCCCTCTGCGCCTCCTGGGAGGTTTTTTTGTGTCTTCGGGGGGGACTTGGAGAGCTTCTGAGACGTCTGGGGGGCTTCCGAGCCTTCGGAGAAGGCCCCCGCTTCTCATTTTCCCCCGAAGCTCGCCGCCAACATCTCGGAGAAAGGTAAGCATCGGGTTCGCCAGGGCTCGGGTTGGCCGACGCGTTTTGACGAGCCCGTCCTGGGCTTGGACGGTCCAGTTTTTTTCGTGAGGTGTTTGCAGCGGGAGAACGCGTCCAATTTTGAGACTGGGTCTCGTCAATTTCCTGGCGGCCCCGTCAGGCCATCCCGAGTCCTTCCGACCCGAGTCTTACGTCTCCCCGACCATTCTGGAGGCTCCAGTTGCGCCCGCCAGTCTATTATTTGACCTCCCTTTCCGTATCTTGTCCTTGTGGATAATGTTTGATTTAGTTTCCCCCCAGAGATGTCGGTCGGTAGAGAGGGCAGGGCGCTTCGCCTGGGACTCCCTCAGCGCTCATGAGCTGGAAGCGTGGAAAGTGCACAAATTACACGGATGCAGGGGGTCATTTCGAACATGAAGGTCTCGCCTCAGGGCCGCGTACACCCGTTCTGAAATCTATCTGGTTTCGCAAACATGGGGAAAGGGGTGGTCTCGAAATGGAGCTTTTTCTCCAGCGCCGATGACACTCGTGCTAATCACGTACAACAGCCACAATGAAAGGAACTTGCGGTTTTCAACATGGCGTATCGCCTTAGGGCCACGCAGATTCGTGTCAAAGGCTTCCAGAATTTCCAGGAGCGTAGAAGGGGTCCGTGCTTAAATGGAGCTTTGG